TCATGGAGAGCCTCCTGCCCCAGCCTCCTGAGTGCTGGGATCACAGGTGTGCGCCACAGGCCCAGCCTTGAACCTGTAAAGAGTATGGAAACTCAATCCAGCTCAGGTGTTTAAAGCTGGGGGCTGGGAGGGGGCTAGGACCAGACAAGGTCATCAGGGAGAGCGGGCCCAGTGTGGGAACCACCGGCAGCTTCACAGAGGGAGGCAGACCAGAGACGCAGGCACGTGCTCCCCGTCCCCTGCCACACGCGCCCTGGGCCACCCGGGCACAATGCCAGGGAGAGCGCAGCACCAGATGTGAGCCTTCAGAACGCAGTGCAGAGTAAACTTTTCCTTCACAACGCACCCCACCTGCAGCCTGGTGTCCCAATGACAGGAAGCAGACCAGTCCCCCGCCGTGCCAGCTGCTCTGGTGCTGCCAGGTGCACCTTGGTGTGCAGCTGCACCCTCCAAGCAGTGCCTCCATCGCTGCACAGCCTTCTTCCCTCGGCCGTGCCCCTGTCCTCTCCTCTCCTCTCATCCCCTCCCTCCCTTCCTCCCTTTCTCTTATGAGCAGGGTCTCATCTTGCCCAGATTGGCCCTTAGCTCCTAGGCTTGAGTGATCCTCCTGCCTCAGCTTCCCCAGTAAGGGAGTTGCACATCACTGTGTCTGGGTTCTCTCCTCTTCTTATAGACACCAGTCACGGTGTAATTAAGCCGCGCTAATCTGGTCAATCTAATCTCATCCATAAAGATCCTGTTTCCAAACAAGGTTACAGAGGTCCCAGGTAACAATTTCAGGGGACACGCGTCAACCCAACCTACATCCACTCTCTTAATCATTCACGCTGAAACAAAGACATGAGGGAAAAGAAACCTTACTCTGTAGTCTAGACAGTATTTCCTTTTTTCTTTTGAGACAGGGTCCTATTACATATACTTCAGGCTGGCCTTGCACTCACTACATAGCCCAAGCTGGCCTCGAATTCACAGTGATCCTCCTGCCTCAGCCTCTCGAGTGCTGGGATGACAGGCATGAACCACCATGCCCGGCTTAAGACAGTTTTTCTTGACCTCAACTTTCTCCCTGTTAGTGGAAAAAACTACATTTAAGGACTAAGCCACAGGGCAGGGGATTTAGCTCAGTGGTGCTGTCACCTGCCTCACAAGCATAAGGTCCTGAGTTCAATCCCCAGTACCAAAAAAAAAGAAAAACTACCACCAAGTTGGACATGGTGGTGCACACCTGTAATCCCATCAGTCCAGAGGCTATGGTAGGAGGATCTCCACAAGCCTGGGCTATATAGCGAGTTCGGGGCCAGCCTGAACTACAAAGTGAGACCCTGAGGAGGAGAGAAAGAAAGAAAGACAGACAGACAGACCAACCACCAACAGACAGAGTGAAGTGACAACCCACACAATGGGAAAAAAACTTTTTGTCAACTGTTTCTCAGACAGAGACTAATACCTAGAATATATACAGACCCCTCCAAAGGCCAGGGATTTAGCTCAGTGGTGTCTCACCTGCCTCCCAAGCACAAGGTTGTGAGTCCAACCCCAGTACCAGGAAAAAAAATCAAAAACAAATTTAAAGACCCAATCCAAAATTGGGAATCTAAAATGAATAGTCATTTCTCAGGTGAAGACAAACAGTAAATAAATATACAAAAAAATGCTCAACATCACTGATATCTTGAGAAATGCAAATTAAAATAACACTGAGATTCCATCTCACTCCAAAAAGAATGGCTATTATCAAGAAATCAACCAATAACAGGTGCTGGAGAGGCTGTAGGGAAAAAGGAACCCTTCTTCACTATTGGTAGGAATGCAGACTGGTGCAACCACTGTGGAAAGCAGTGTGGAGATTTCTCAAAACACCAGGATTAGAGGTTTCATTTGACCCAGCTATTCCCCTTCTTGGTATCTTCCCAAAAGAATTAAAAGCATCATACCACAGCAATATATGCACACCCATATTTATAGTAGCATAGTTTATAATAGCTAAATCTGAGTACTACTGGATGCTACTCAGCCATAAAGGACAAACCTGAGGGCTGGGGATGTAGTTCAGTGGCCCCGTGCCTGCCTTGCAAGTGAAAGGTCCTGAGTTCGATCCTCAGTACCACACACACACAAAAAAATCTAACCCGAGACATTTCTAGGTAACTCGATGCACCTTGAGACCATACTCTTAAGTGAAATAAATCAGACCCAAGTTTAAATATCTCAGTTTCTCTGGTGTGAAAAACCAAAAGGGTAAATAAGGATGAAAATGTATAATAGATTGGGAAATAGGAAGAAAATGTTCAAATGGTAAGGGGAACAAGGGAGGGGAGGGGGAAAAGAGAGGAAGGGAAAAGAAAAGAGAAGAAAAAAAGGAAACAAAGCTTTTGTACATAAGGGGAAGAGGGGCTGAAGCGAGGGGAGTCACTTGGAGAAAAAAGAAAAATTAAGAAATATTATGTACAGGTACAAATTCCCTATGATGAATGTGATCATTATGTGTATCTAAAATGTACCAATAAAATTAATTTTTTAAAAAAGACCATCCTGGACTACATAGTAAGTTCAAGGTCAGTCTAAACTACATAGCAACACCCTCTCTCAAAAAATAAAAAACAAAAATATAACAGAGAAAAGTCAAAAAAGAAGAAATGTGAGAAATCTGGGAAAACCAGAATGCTGAAAAGTAATAAAAGTAAATTAAAAATGAAAGGACTCCTTTCTAATTAAAAAAATAAAAAATGGGAATAAGGAAATGCGTATAGGGATGGGGCTGAATTAGCCGCTAGAAGGTGGTTACTGAGGTTAGATGACCTATGATTCTTGCTTTGGTGTACTTTAAATCCCCCATGATAATTTTTTTAAAAGATCAATGCAGGCCTGGGGATTTAGCTCAGTGGTTCCGCCACCTGCCTCACAAGCACAAGGTCCCAAGTTCGATCTCCCATACCAAAAAAAGAAAAAAAGATCTGGCGACTGCCTTGCAAGCGCAAGGTCCCGAGTTCGATCCCTGGTACCAAAAAAAAAAAAAAAAAACAGGAAAAAAAAATCAAGGCATATTCTGGATACTCAGTGACATCTTCAGTTTGGGTCTCTAACCTGATTGAGGTCTATTTCAATCTCAAGCAAAACAATCTAATGCTGCTATGACGGGCTTTCTCCCAGTGCCTTTCATTTCCTTGGGTAATATGTCAGAACATTTTAGAGAAAAAAAACAACCCCAATATTGATTATAGAATGAGCACAATGATATTTATGAGACATGTTACCAAGACGGAACCACTACATAATTTAGCACAACAGGGAGAAACGAATCACTAGAATTACACAAATTCAGTTTGCTTCTACCACCAAGGCCGGTAAAATTTTCCACCTACAGACATTGAAAAGATATCGGGCTGTGGATTTAGCTCAGTGGTTCCACCACCTGCCTCGCAAGCCCAAGGTCTCCAGTTCAATCCCCAGTGCCAAAAGAAAAGAAAAAAGATATCTAATGATGCCAGCCATGTGGTATTTTAATTCTAGATATGTAGAAAGAGTACTAGACTCAGAGCCAGAAGACATGGTCCCAGTGTGTCCCACTGATAGCTTTGTCTCTAATTTATAAGCTGTATGAATTCAGCTCATTACTTAAAGACGCAGGATCATAAACTATATAATGGCAGAATTTTAAAGACCAGGACTGGGTATGTGTGTCTGTGTGTGCCTGCGTTTATTTTTGTTTTGAGAGGGAGTGTCTAGCTATGTTGCCCAGGCTGGCCTTGAACTCAAGATCCTCCTCCCTGAGCCTCCCAAGTGGCTGAGATTAGAGGCATAAACTACCACCCCTGGCTTCTGGAATTCATGTGGGAGTTGGAATCCATAGATAAACTTCACTGGCTTTTAAGCCTAAGAATGAACGTTCTGTCTAGATTTCAATGTACACTTCTCTGGGAAGAATTTCTATAGCTTTTAGCAGATTATCAAAAAGAACCAAAATTCATCTATCTTCCTGTGGTTAAGAAACACGTTTGCCAGGAGTGGTGGTGCATGCCTGTAATCCCAGCACGAAGAGGCTGAGGCAGGAGGATTGTCAGACGCTCAAGGCCAGCCTGGGTTATGTAGTAAATTCGGGGCCAGCCTGAACTACAAAGGGAGACCCTACCTCAAACCCCCCGCCCCCCCAAAAAAACCCATTTTCAACAGAATAATTTATTTGTAAACAACAAAGGCTGACACCAAGTATGGCTGTATGCATTTGGCCAGGCTTTTAAATCTAGATCTGCAAAATACTCTGCCTTCATAAAATACAATGCTTCGTGTTTAACAGAATTTTTTTTTAACAGAATGTGTTTTTACAAGACAAACTCTGTACAATCCTACAAACTTGTTAAAAAAAAAAACAACTGCGTATTATGAAAGTAATGTACAAGACTGAGTCATAACGATGTGCTTTTCTAGTCCCCAGATATGTCAACCTGCTGAATCACTTGAAGGTTCGTATTAAACCTTTGAGGACTTTTAACTGTTACAGTATAAAGCAAGATTCTAGGCCTACCCCAAATTTCTCTTTTTTGTTTTTAGAAACGTATTTCAAGTGCGATTAGCAATTTCTCCTGGGAATTCTGCGAGACCCCTTGACCGAACCGGGAAAACGAGGCTAAGGTTCAGTAAACCTTAAAACCGCTGGGTACAAGGGCATGCAAGAACGGACACCGCGGACAGGGAAGCTGGGATAAAGTTGAAGGTGGGGAGCAGCAAGAGCGACTTACGGAAGCCGGCAGGGACCACAGGGTGGCCGCCCGCGTTGCCCAGGCTGCGCTGCAGTACAGCCCCCTCCCCACCGTCAGCCCGTGTCCCAGCCCCACGAAGACAGACCGAGGGCTCCGCGCCGCGCCGCCGGCCCCCTCCCCGATAGCGTCGCGGCCGGGGAGCACACGGGGCGGCCCTGGCGCCAGGAGACCCCGCGAGGCCGAAGTTGCCCCCAGTACTGGAGGAGTGGCCTCTGCCCCCGGCCCGGCCCTGCCCGGCCTTACTTTGAGTGCCAGGTGGTGGACGCGGCCCAGGCCGGGCTCGGCCAGCAGTGGGAGCAGCCCCAGCATCGGAAGTAGCCGGAGGCCCGAGGCCAGACGCAGACTGCAGGAGCCCGAAGGGCCCAGAGGCGCCAGGGCCGCCATGTTTGTTCCCGCATCACCAGCTGCTTCCTCTCCAGCCCACTTCCGGGTAAAAGGGCGGCGGCCGCCGGATGTGCCGGGGAGTGGCGGCGGCGGCGGCTGGCTCCTAGCACAACTGTCTGTGGTCGTTTGGGTGGAGCATGAGACTCTAGGAAGCCAGCGCGGGGCCTAAACTGGCCACCTCGGGGCCCTTCAGTTGGCCTCCCTTGTGTAGACTTCTGGTTTAGCGCGAAGAAGTGAAGCCATTCTGGGGGAGAGAGGGGGAATCCCTGCTGCGTTTGTCATGACCCCTTCTGCCTCGCGGGGGGACCGTGACCGACCGCAGGATGGGGACACTCCGTGGCAGCCACGCTGTGCCTGGTGGTCCATGGGACTAATTTCTCCCAGCGCTGTCGGTGACAGATGTCTTAGATGTTTCCCACTGTAAATTCAGGGGAAATACTCGCAGTGATACGATTGGTAGTCTCCTTAGGAAGCAATTCACTAGGCTCTTTTTGGCAGGTGATTCTTGGAACAATCTGATAAATAGGAAGTGGATGTTGTCACACTTCCTTTGACAGGTAAGCAAACCGAGGCTCTGAGAAATAGGTAGCTCATTCCAGGTTGAGCTGGAAATCACGGGAACTTGACTAGTGTGTGGCATTGGCACATGCCATTCCGTTCCATCCCACTTCTGGAATCCGACCCTTAAGAGTTTTTCTCTCTCCGAGTTCGATCCCCGGTACGGGAAAAAAAAAACTAGGTTTTGTTTGTTTTTTTTTTCTCCCAATTCTAAGAGGGAGGGTGAAATTTTTCTACTCGTTAGAACTTGCTCCATGGAACGATTCAGAAGTAGGACCTCTCCTACTCCCTGTTCTTTATGAGTTATAGAAGAATATGCTTATGAAAGTTGCCAATAGACTAGCCAGGTTTATTTTTATTTATTTATTTTTGAGTACCCGGGATCGAACTCGGGTCCTTGCGCTTGCGAAGCAGCCGGCAGAACCACTGAGCTAAATGCCCAGCCTAGCCAGGTTTATTTAATTTTTAGGTTCTTGTTTTTAGCTTGTCAAACAAGTAGTGAGTGCTTTTTGAAATCATTTAAGCAAAAGAGAAAATAAAATCCGCCAGGAATACCAGTGCTAAGTAGTAGTGTGTTTTATGACATAATCCGATTCTTTAATGTTTTGGGGGTTTTTGTTTTGGTTTGGTTTCTTGGTTTTCTGAGACAGGGTCTCACTATGCAGTTCAGGCTAGCTTTGAACTCTGTGTGGCCCAGGATGGCCTCCATCTCACAGTGATCCTCCTGCCTCAGCCTCCTGAGTACTGGGATTACGTGGGTGCACAACCACCCCCAGCATTCCTCTGCCCTTTTGAAATAAACTTATTTTTGCCGTAACAGAAATATACACCACTAGGGCTTTGGAAAAACGAAAATTCATACTATGTCATAAACTACTGTGTAGAAATTTAAGTCACGTATTCTCCTCAAGCATCTAAACTGCAAAAAAAAAAATGCTTTGCATTTGTTTAATCCTGCGTATTTATCTGCCTGGTAACCCTTAGACTTAAGGCAGCATTATATTCATTTTATATTAGAAATCCAGCCAAGTGTGGTGGTGCACACCTGTAATCTCAGCACCAGGAGGCTGAGGCAGGAGAATCACTGAGATTGAGGCCAATTTGGGCCATATAGCGAGACACTGTCTCAAAGAGAATTTTTTTTTGGTACCAGGGATTGAATTTGGGATCTTGCGCTTGTGAGGCAGGCAGAACCACTGAGCTAAATCCCCAGCCCAAGAATTTTTTAAATAAAAAAAGTAGTAAAAATTCAGTCTCAAACTATTTGGAAATACTGTTGTTTTACCCCATTATTCAGTTTGTTTGCTAACAAGAAAATGTCAAGTCGCGCTGGAGATTTAGCTCAGTGGTTCCCCCCCTCCCCCGCCTGCCTTGCAAACGCAAGGACCTGAGTTTGATCCCTGGTACCAAAAAAAAAAAAAAAAAAAAAATTTCGCAGTCCTAGGAGTCAAGAAAGCTGTTGTAAAGAATGAACTAACAACAACAACAAAAAAAAAAAAACAAGAAAAAGAAGAAAGGGCCGGGAATTGGATTTAGCTCAGTGGTTCCACTGCCTGCCTCACAATCACAAGGGCCCAAGTTCGATCCCTGGTACCAAAAAAAAAAAAAAGAATGAACTAACAATCACTTCTTGGCCTTTTGGTTAAGATCAAATATAAGAATGAAGTAACAAGTTAAACTGGAGGGTGAAATTTTGAATGTCAAATGTGAGTCTCAAGCCATATGACTAATATAAAAACTACTATCATGTGCCCAAAATACTACATTATTTCTTTCGTTTAGAATAAATTTATAGATGGGCTTAGTCATGCTGACATACTCACAGGTACTCTGTCTAGACCAAATTAAAGTTTTAAGAAAACAAAACACTTTCTATGAGCAATCCTGGAAAGTCATAGAGTTCAATCAGAGTGGTGTCAAATTTAGGAGCTTCGGGTTGGGGATTTAGCTCAGTGGTTCTGCTGCCTGCCTTGAAAGCACAAGGTCCCGAGTTCAATCCCCGGTACCAAAAAAAAAAAAAAAACTTTTATGGACCAGGGATTTAGCTCAGTGGTTTCGCTGCCTGCTGCGCAAGGACCCAAGTTCGATCCCCGGTACCAAAAAAAAATCCCAAAATTTAGGAGCTTCATTTGCTCAGTGATTTCTGTAATTTATTATGCTAAAAATGAAAACAGAAACAAAAGTCATTTCTCAGTTTTCTTTGTTTGATTGTATTGCTTTCTTGTGTTCAGGAGGAAAGATTTTTTGTTTGTTTGTTTGTTTTTGGTTTTGTTTTTGGTTTTGTTTTTTTGGTACTGGGGATCGAACTCAGGTCCTTGAGCTTGGAAAGATTTTTTTTAATATGATACTTTTTAAATAATTTATTTTTTGAGGCAGGATCTCATTATGCAGTTCAGGCTGACCTTGAACTCACTATGCAGCCCAGGCTGGCTTTGAACTCATGGTGATCTTACCCTCAGCCTCCCGAGTGCTGGGATGACAGGCATGGGCCACCACCCCTGGGCCAGGAGGAAAGATCTTGACTTTACAAGTAACAAAAGTGGGCCAGGGATTTAGCTCAGTGGTTCCAGGCCCTCCCTTGCAAGCGCAAGATCCCAAGTTCATCCCTGGTACCAAAAAAAAAAAAGTAACAAAAGTGACAGGTATGGTGGGGCACGCCTGTCATCCCAGCACTCAGGAGCTGAGGCCTACCTCACAGGAGGATCACTGCCAGTTTGAGGCCAGCCTGGGCTATAGCAAGACCCTGTCTCAAAACATCAAAAAAGTAACAAAATACTTGAGAAGCAAATTTCCATCTTCCGGTTTTAAATGGTATTCTTGTGATGTTTTCTCAATAGTCCATGTTTTGAGATAAAGTTTATGATTCCTGAGAAGTATCAAGGCCTCTACAGTGTAAATTTTGCCTTCGGAAATGTTCTTAGTATTCATAGCAGAGCCCTTCAGCACGGGGAATTCCTCGGGTTTTGCCCTGTTCTGCACCTTCTCCCGCAGGGATGACACAGGATCTGTGCGCTCAGCATTCTCATCTCAGAGCTGACAGCAGCTGTTGTCTTCCCAGTGTTTCTCCAGAACGGTGACCCTCCCAGGGGGCTCTGAGTGGGCAGGAGCCTGGGGCTGGGGCCTATTTCTCTGGCTGATTCCCATTCTGCTGGGCTCTGATCACCCCAGTCACCAAGCCCCCAGATCTCTTTCTGACTCGAAGCCCTGGTTCCCCAGAGGCACAAGGGTGACCTGTGGGCACACAGAGCAGGATCAAGTCCTTTTAACTCTACGGTTAGGGATTTGTGAATCCATAGCGAGATAATAAATTTTTTTTTTTCCGGTACCAGGAATCAAACTCAGGACTTTGCACTTGCCAGGCAGGTGCGGTGCCACAGAGCTAAACCCCCAGCCTGGCGGACTTCTGATTTCTAAATCACCCAGCTAGAGCTCTCATCCAGCCTCTATTCACAAAGCCCAGCACATAATCTGCGGCCTGTGTTCCTGTAAAGAAAGCACACTGTACCAGGCTGAAAAGTCTTTGGATAATCAGGATCTACTTTATGTAACAGTTGTGAAAACAATTCTTGGGAATTTAAGTGATTTCCTTGAGATCACACTATCAGTTGGGTAATTTTTAGCAAACATCTTTAAAATCAACCAACCGTGGTGGTGCATGCCTGTCATCCCAACACTCGGGAGGCTGAGGCAGGAGGATTGCTATGAGTTCGAGGCCAGCCTGGGCTACACAGTGAAACCCAGTCTCAAACAAAAATAAGAATAGGCAAATAACATCTTAATTCCATTTAATAATATGATAGTGATGAAACATTAAAATAGTTTCAAAGTAGATGACTTTTGTTGTTTAGTTTCTTGGAAACAACTTTACAAGGCTTCTTTTTTTTGGAGTGGGGACAAGGTCTCCATACATAGCCCAGGCTGGCCTAGAACGCCTGACCCTCCTGCCTCATCCTCTGGATTCCTGGGGTCGCACCACAACTCCTGGCTCAGTTTTCTTTTTTTCTTTTTTTATGGTATTGAAAAACCCAGGGCCTTTGGACTGAGCTACATCCCCAGCCTTTTTCAAATGTTTTTATTTTAAGACCAGGTCTTACTAACTTGCCCATGCTGGGCTTAAATTTGAAATTCTCCTGCTTCAGCCTCCCAGAGTGCTAGGATTATAAGCATGTACCACCACACCTGGTTCTGTCTCAATTTTTTTTTTGTTTTTTTTGGTACCAGGGATCGAACTCGGGTCCTTGCGCTTGTGAGGCAGGCGGCGGAATCACTGAGCTAAATCCCCAGCCCCTGTCTCAATTTTTGATTCTTAACATCTCTTGTTTTCAAAATAATGGTTGAGACAGCATGGTTTGAAGTACATGAAGGAAGGAATTCCTCACAAACCCCTGGGAGATATAGTTGGTTTGACTCCATGGCAGTCACAGTGTAATTTCCAAGTATAAAGAATCAAGGAATTAAAAAAAAAAGTAACAATTCAATTTTAAATACAGCGATCCTCCTGCCTCAGCCTCCTCAGTGCTGGAATGACAGGCAGGCGCCACCATGTCTAGCCGGTTACTTTTTGAATCCTGAGAAAACTGAGAATTTGGCAATTACATGTAGACACGTGACTTGAGTTTTAAAAAGACTGTTTGCATAATCATGCTGCTGTACCTGGAAACAGCCGTGGTGAGTAACAGAACACGTTACGCCTGCTTCTCCCAGCAGGATGTTCAAAGCAGCACAGACTGAAAAAGCCTGGAGGGACAGAGAAGACTGGCATAAGCTTGGCTTTGAGCCTCACCTCTTAGTTGGGTGCATTTTACTTTGGTATTTTCTGTAGCTTTGTGGGATTAACCCATGGTTGCCATAAGTAGCAGTATTCGTAGTTTGAATGTGGCACTATTGATGATGTTGGACATTGCCAAAAACCTTTTAAGTAATTGTCTTAGTTACTTTCCTCATTGCTGAGACAAAATGCCCAACACCCAAAGTTACAGGGAGAAAGGTGTATTTAGCCTGCAGTTTGTAAAGGTTTCAGTCCATTATCAGCTGGCACCAAGGCAGGACATTGCAGATGGGCATGGCAGAGGAGAAACAGCCCATGGCAGGCAGAGGGCAGGAAAGCAACCAGGGACCACCACAGCTCCTTCTATCCCTCATATCTTATCCAGGCTACTTAGGGTGGCAGCACTCACACCTTTAATCCTAGTGCCCTTGAGCCTAGCGCTGCACCATGAGTCAATCCTAGTGTCACACACTCTGTGACTGCATGAGGGGACATCTAGACACATGCTGTAACAGTAATTATTGGGTTAATGGTCTCCAATATTTTTTAATTTAATTTTTTTTCTTTCTGAGACAGTGTCTTGTGATGTGGTTCAGGCTGGCCTTGAACTCACTGTGTAGCCCAGCCTTGGCCTTGGGCAATCCTCCTGCCTCAACCTCCAGAGTGCTGGGATCACCAGCATGTGGCACTACACCTGGGACACCATTTGTTTTTCTTACCAAAAGAATTGACATTTCATCTGGGTGTGGTGGTGCACACCTGTAACTCAGAAGGTTGAGGCAGGAGGATCGCTGTGAGTTTGAAGCCAGCCTGAACTACATACTGTCTCAACAACAAAAAATTACTTTTGGAACAGAAACCTCTCAGAACGCTGCAAGGCAAACTGGGGCCTGGCCATCCCTCAGGAATCACGTAGCACACCTTCCTGGAAAATCGTGCTCTCCAGGATAGCTGCTGAGGCCTCAGGCTCACTTGGGCATAGGAGAGGCCCTGGCCCTTTTGCAGGAAGGGAACTTCTGCAAAACCCAATCTCAGAGACAGCAGGTCTGTCGTGCTCGCCACGGGCCCACTGGTTTCTCCTCGCCTCATGCCCATCTTCAGGGAGTTTGGTGATCAAGTATAAAAACTGGGTCCAGGGCCGGGGATTTAGCTCAGTGGTTTCGCCACCTGATGTGAAAGCACAAGGACCCGAGTTCAATCCCCGGTACCAAAAATTTTTTAAAAAATAAAAACTGGGTCCAGGGTCGGGGATGTAGCTCCTGGCACCACACCTGCCTGGCAAGCGCAAAGTCCTGAGCTCAATTCCCGGTACCCCCTCCCCCAAAACTGGCTCCAGACTCTGCTCACGTTGCTTCCTAGTTTTATCCCCTCCAACCTCTACTGACTGCTCTCTTGGGTCCTTAGCAAGTGAATTTTTTTTTTGGTACCAGGGCTCAAACTCAGGACCTTGCGCTTGCGAGGCAGTCGACGGAACCACTGAGCTAAATCCCGGCCCTGAACACTTTTGTTTTTAACCTCAGAATGTTACTGGTTAGTACTCCCCAGGAGCCAGCCAGTTGGCTGTAGTTCAGGGAAGGTAACTTGCTGTATCAGAAATGCTTAAAGAATTGCTCTCTTTGGTATAATAGGGAAAAGCAGAAGGAAAGGGGAGATAATACTTGTGTCCCGTGTACTAAGCATTTTGTGCATAGTCTCTTTTTAATCTTTGCAATAATTTTTGAAGAGAGAAGCACTATTTCCATTTTAAGAGAAGAAAATTGAGGCTTAGAGGACATCTCGATAGCTGTCTATACTGAGCTCTCCAAATCCACATAGTGCCTTTACCGCAGCCACAATAGCCTAAGGCATGGATGGTGAGTGAACCTTTGAGAGCTTTCAATGATACAAACAGCCCGCCGTGGCACATGTGCCATAGGTTGCCAAAAAGCCTGCATGCAGTTGCTTGCTTCTCACTACATAGAAACCCATTCAGGACCTCTGCTCTGTTTACCCAATACCTTATTTCATGTAACCAGATTATTCAGTGGCAGTATCCAGTTTTCTGCTGAGATCATAATCAGTGTTCCCTAAATATTACTGAGAGGTGAAGCCAAACCAACCCCTTAGGTGATTCCAGCCTTAACCTGCACAGGGGTTAAAACACCACCGGTAAGAGTGGTTCCTAAGTGTGTCAGGTCACAGTGGGGTGTGTGTGAACAGGTGTGGTAGTGGGCATGGATCCCAGGGCCTTTGCTCTAAGCTACATCCCAGCCCTTTTTAATTTTAATCTTTGTTTGTTTTATGAGACAGGGCCTCTCTTTGTAGCCCAGGCTAGCCTCAAACTCTCAATCATCCTCCTGCCTCAGCTTCCCCGAGTGCTGGGATTACAGGTGTTCTCTTGGGCTGGGGATTTAGCTCAGTGGTTTCCCCGCCTGCTGCGCAGGCACAGGGACCCGAGTTCGATCCCTGGTATCAAAAAACAAACAAACAGGTGTTCTCTCCCACACCTTGCTAGGTTCCAGTCCTTTAATAGTGAGAATCTTTGTCTTATAATCATTCCCTCTTCCTCTAAAGGAAACTGAAATAGATTTAGTTCTTCCTAAACAAAAAAATACTGTTCAGTACTTATACCTCTTTTCTGCTGACTTGTTTCCCTTTGTCCTGGGCCCTACTGTTCCCATCGTTTCAAGATTAAAAGTGTCTTTCTCTTTCATAGTTTGAATATTGTGGCTCCTTGAAACACGTTTCCGGTTAACACCAGTACCTAATCGCAGCAAATGTGTTTGCAGCGCGGTACCCAAAACCCCTGCTCAAAGAGTTTCCACCGTGGCTTTGACGGGGTTCCTGTAACGACTTCCGGCTTCCTCATCTGGAGTAGTTTCATCTTATTTCTTCTGCTCTCCCTTACTGTTCTTTATCTCTTCCTTCTTTCTTCTTTAAAGCAGCACTTTGTTCTGCCTCAGGATTAGCCTACTTTTGAAAGCGGCCACTCTGTTTTGAGACATTTCCAAGGACTCAGTCAAGATTAGACCGTTGTATTTAACTGAGAAAATACGCAAGTCTTGGGCAGAAGGGAAATGAGGTGATCACCGAGGCAGGGATTGTCAGATAACCTGCATTTCATCGACCACGTCCACACTGAGGGGACTAAACTGTGCAGCTCTCCTTAAATTCCCACCCTGCCAACCCAGCTGCTATCCATCTCCTTAGCAGGGAGGTGGCTGGGTGTTAGGATTATTAAATATCTATCCGTCTCTGGAAAAAAGCCTACTTAACTCTGGTAACTGTGAGAGCAAATATTTAAAGAGACAATGCCTGTAATCCCAGCACTCAGGAGGCTGAGTCAGGAGGATTGCTGAACTACATAGAGAGGAGAACCTGTTTCAAAAAAACGGGGGGTGGGGGAATGAGAGGGAAGGGGAGACTGAAAGGAGAGAGCAAGACAGTTATGAGGGTTTCAGTGTGACCAGCACAGGAAATGATGTGAGTTTCCAGCCCCACCCTTTCTGGAGTGGTCAGGGGAGGATGTCAGAGAAACGTGCCTCTGAAATTGTTTTTAAAGGGGGATCCACGTGGGGAGTGCACGGTTACTCAGACGAAGCCTGTAATTCCAGCTACTCAGGAGGCTGAGCCAGGAGAATGGGAAGATCAGGGGCAGCACGGGCAACCTAGTGAGGCCCTGTTACGAAAGAGAGGGCAGAGACAGGGAGAGGGGGGCAGGCGGGCCTCCGGGGAAGCAGCACAGCGCTCCCTGGCTGACCCAGTGTAGCAGGGTCGCGGGGCCCAGCGAGCCCACCGTCAGGCCCGGGCGCCGCCGAGGCCTCAGCTCGTCCGGAGGCACCGGCGCCTCCGCAGACGGGGAGGGCTCAGGTCTCCAGGTGCGGCGAGACTGCAAGGCCCCGGGAGGCGGGCGAGCCCGAGCGGGACCGGCGGTGGGGTGCCTTCCCGCCCCGCCGGGACGCTGGGACAGCGCGGCCCTGACCAGCCCAGCCGCGCGGCGCTCGGAGGTTCTGAGCGGCGGTCCCGGGAGCGGGGCGCGCGGTTGCCGAGGAGTCGCGAGGAGCCGGGCGGAGGGGCGTGCCCGGCCCCGCCCCGCACCGCCGCACCGCCCAGCTCCTCGCGTCCTTCCCGCGCCCTGGGCGATGCGGCCCCCCCGAGGGGCCGACAGGGGGCGTGGCCGAGAGGGGGCGTGGTGGGCGGCCAGGCCGCGCATGCGTGAGCTGTCAGAAGGCCCCGCCCCGCCCCGGCCCCGCCCCTCCCCCTGCGCTCTGGGGCGTGAGGCGGGCAGTGGCGCTGCGGCGGCCGGCGCGGCCGCTTCCTCGGGCCATTTTGCCGTGGAGCGGCGGGGAGGAACAGCCGCCGGGACACCCGGGCCGGGGCCGCGACCGGAGCAGGCGGCGGCGCGCGGCAGCGGGGCTCGGCGGGCGCGGGGTCTGGAGGCCAGGCGATCGCCCGGGAGGCCCGCGGAGCCGCCGGGCCCGCCGCGCCGCACCATGAGCTGGGGCGCCGAGCTCTGGGTGAGTGGGACCGGTAGGGGCTGCCGGCGAGGGAGGCGCCGCGGGCCGGAGGGGCCGGGAGGGGCGGCCGGTTCCCGGCTGGGCGGAGCACGGGGAGCCCGCGTCGTCCCCGTCCCCGCGGTCCCGGGGGCGTGGAGGCCGCGCTGCGCAGTCCCCGCGGCGACCCGGGCGGGGTCCAGGTCTCGGGGTTCGGGGCCTGGGGGAGCCGTCCCGGGCGCGGGGACCCTGGGCCCGGGCGCTCGGGCGCGCTCGCATGTGCCCTGGAGGGGCTGCGGCGCTGGGTCCCGGGGGACGGGACGGGGCCGGGACGGGGCCCACGGCGACTCCGGGGGGCGCAGGCGAGGTGAACCCCTCAGCGCTGCGCCGAGGGGCGCGGGCGCAGCGGTGACCGAGCTGTCGCCGGCCCGGGCCTCCCGGGGACGCTGAGGAGCAGAGCTGGGGCCCGGGAGGGGTGGCTGTGCCCGGCCCGGGGTTCCAGAGGTCGCGGGGCGAGAGGGGCCGGGAAGGCGGGGACCATCTCTGCATAGGGGGCTGCGCCGCGTCGCGCTCGGGCCAGCTTCCCGGTGAGCTGAGCGTCTGCAGAGCACCCCGGGGATCCTCCGAGGAGGCCGTGGGGGGGGGACGTGGGGTGCTGGGTGCCATCCGAGGTGAGGCCAAGAAATCTGTCAAAATAAAGCTAGGTTGGAGCAATTAGTAACAGGGCATTCTCTCTAATTTTTTTTTTTTTGCTTTGTTTTTACATAACCCTTTCTTAGACCCAGAAGCAGCTACTGTTATTAGGACTAAAATCCTGAAGGTAATAAGTCCCTTAAATTAAGATAATGCAGTTTAAAAGCATCCCCCGTCCAAAGAAATTCATGACAGCGTTTCAGCTGATGTTTGAAAATACCCGTTTTAAAATAACGTATGGCCATCAATATTTGCACACACCTAATTAGTATAAATCCGCCCCTTTAAGTGCTGTAGAGTAATTCTTTCCTTTCTTATTCTTCTCCCACTCCCTTTCCTCCTTATGGTTATCAGGTGAGTGGGGAGGAGAAATCAGAAGTAGTCTATCAAAAAACCAAATTTTTGTTTCCGGTTGTTTAAGCAGGAAGATGGAATTCTGGAGGGAAAAACAGTGTGTTTCTGTGTTAGGGACTGGATGAGAGGACATTTCACGGTGATGCTGGTGGATGTTGTAGGGAGGGCTTACCAGGGGAAGAAATGAGCAAAGAGCTCCATTTGAGCTGGGAGCTGGGCGTGGTAGAGGAGGCCTGTCATCCCAGCACTCAGGGAGGCTGAGGCAGGAGGATCACTAGCTCCAGTCTAACCTGAGGAACTTAGTGACTTAGTGAGACCCTGCTCAAAAAAATTTTTTTTTTCAAAAATTTTTAAAAGCCTATGGATGTCATTCTGTGTGAAGGCCCTAGGTTCAGACTAGGGAATAAGGGCTTCCATTGCCTGTGTTATTCTGCACACATTTTATTTTGAAAATGGAGGGGTGGGAAGGAAGCAAAGACAGGAGTTGTTGAGTGTGGTGATGCACATCTGTCATCCTAGCACTCAGGAGGCAGAGGCGGGGCCACCACAAGTTCCAGGCCAGCCTGGGCTACACAGGGAGGCCATGTCTCAAAAAATGAGGGCAGGGGATTTCTCTCAGTGGTTCCACCGCCTGCCTCACAAGAGCAAGGTCCAGAGTACCATTCTTGGTACCAAAATAAACAAACAAAAAACCAAAAAGAAATAGAAACTGGAATATATATGAATGATGTGAAACTTTGGGTCCTCATCAATACTTTGGGGTGGCCTTGGGCAGATGATACTGAAACAGAATTGGTCCACATTGATAACCATCAAGGCTGGGTACTGAGTACAGGAGAGTCTGTGATACTATTCCTTCTCCTAATGCTTGAAATCCTCTACAGTGAGAAAAATCGGAAACTGTTTTTAAGGGAGAAAGGTGTGCAGTGTTAGACTGTATTTTCACTTGGTAACTTTATGAGGAAGAATGAACCAGTGAGTAGATCTATAGATCCAAGTATATATGCATATGTATTTTGGTTTTTGTTTGTTGTATTTGAGACAGGGTCTCACTATGTAGTTCATTCAGGTTGGCTTTGAACTCTGTGTAGCCCAGACTGGCCTCGAATTCACAGTGATCCTCCTGCCTCTGCCTCCCCAGTGCTGGGATAACAGGCATGCGCTATAACATCTAGCTCAGAATTGGAGTTTTAAGGCTAAATGTAAAGTTACGTAGGACAGCAAAATGTTTCCACTTCATTTGATCTTAGCCAAAAGGCCGCGAAGTGACTGTGTCTGTTTCCACTTGCCTTGTTTTTATTAGTAGTTTTTAAGATTTTTAAAAAAGCCCTAGAGTACCAAAGGAGATGTGGCTGAACAGGGAGCCTGTCCGTCCGGGCTCAGAGCCTGGGCTGTGTGGTGCGCCCGGCAGCCTGGCCAGGCCAGTGATTGAGGGTTCCCCTTACGGTGGCTTCAGATCCGGCCTGGTGTAATGAGTTGGTGATGGGGTGCTTGCCCTGCTCGGCAGAACCACAGTGCTGGAAGCAGGGCGAGCTGAGGCTGGTGCGGGCGGCTGGAGTTACTCGGGAACAGGTGCACACGGCTCTCTCTCTCGAGGCCCTTCACAAATGCCCCTGGATTCGACGCACATTTCAGGACTTTGAAAACTCTACACAGGCTTTCAAAAACGACAGGTTTCTATCAAACGTTTACATCAAAGGCCTGTGCGGAAACCACATCCTGCCTTGTCATGAGAGTTGAAAACTTTTTCTCTGCTTTTAAAAAATTCCTTCTTGGAGCCCAGCACAGTGGCTCATGCCGGTCATCCCAGCACCCTGGGAGGCTGAGGCAGGAGCATCGCAAATTGGAGCCCAGCTGGACAACTTGTTGATTTAACAAGACCCTGTCCCAAAAGAAACTAAAAATAGGGCTGAGGATGTGGCTCAGTGTGAAGGCCCTGGGTTCACAAGCCAGTTGTAACAACAACAAAAAAATCGTTTTTAGGAGTAAACTTTCATATTTAGGAAACTTTTGAGAAATGGCAAAATGTCAGGAAATTATCATATAGCTATAGAAAACAGTTCAAATGTGTAATTTGTAGTACCTTTATTGGATTAGTTTATATTTAAGTTGAGCTTTTTGTTTTTGTATGAGGTTAAACAGTAGAAATGGCTGTATTAACATAATTAGATTATAAAAATGATTTCTATATAGCTCTTCATAGCACTGGGTTTTGTTTTGTTTTGTTTTGAGACAGGGTCTCACTGTGTAGTCCAGGTTGGCCTTGAACTCATGTAGCGCAGGCTGGCCTCAAACTCTAGTGACCCTCATGCCTCAGTCTCCCAAGTGCTAGGATTACAGGTGTGTACATGCCCAGCCTAATATTGTTTTCTAAGCAATTACATTTTTTTCTTAGCTAGGAGGGTGGAACACACTTGTGATCCGAGCAGGAGGTTGAGGCAGGAGGATCTCAAGTTGAAGGCCAGCCTGGATTACATAGGGAGTTAAGGGCCAGCTTGGATTACATAGTGAGACTCTGTCTCAAAAAAACCAAAAGGAATACAAAATAAATAAAAAAAATTTTTTTGAAACATGGTCTCACTATATAGTTGAAGCTGGTCTTGAACCCCGTGAAGCCCCAGTTGATGCCAGACTTTCCAAACTTGCGGTGATCCTCCTGCCTCAGCCTCCTAAGCTTTCTTTTCTTTTTCTTTTTGTGGTGCTGGGAATCAAACCCAGGCCCTTGTGCATGCTGGGCAAGCGTACTACCTCTGTACGAGCAGGACATCTATGTGAACCCTGTTGAAAGTTACTGCACATACACTGAGAGATACCTGTTCATTCCTGTGAAAGCACACAAAGTAGATTTTACCCCCAGCCTGAAAGACTGAGTCCAGAGAGACAGTTCTGTTTCTGTGTAAGGTTAACCAATGCGGGGAGGCTGGGGTGTCACTCACTGGCAGGGCATGTGATTAGCAGGGTCGTCAGCATCACACACACACACACACACACACACACACACACACACACACACACACACACACACAAGCCCACCTCCACGCCCTGACTTGTTGGAGCTGCGATTGGTCATTGGAGAAAAGGCATAGCAAGAAGGGCGTGTTACCTTGGAATTTTTTTTCTTGCCTCCTTATTGGAAGGCAGTGACAGGTTCCTGAGGTGTCAGTTCCTGTTTTTAGGAGCTTACTTATTAGTGTGACGTGTGAGAATCCACTGGAAACTTAGCCTTCATCCCCGGCACAGGCTTTCAGGCAGTGACACAGCCTGGGCGGCTCCCTGCTGGACCCCTGCTGTCCTTACTTTGCTCAGGTGCTGACTAGAAGAGAATTCCCTCACCCAGGGAGACCTGGGAACCGTGCCCCTCATCAGCAGAGGAAGAAGCCACCTGCTTGCATGACATGCAATTTTTTTTTTCTTTTGAGACAGGGACTTGCTGTATTGCCCAGGGTGACCTTGAACTTGCAGCAGTCCTCCTGCCTCAGCCTCCTAAATGTTGGTGTCACAGGCCTGTGCCATCATGCCCGGCTTCGAGACACACTGTTTTCAATAGACTTTATTTTTTCTGTGCTGGGGTCACACCCAGGAGCTGTATCACTGGGTCCATCCCCAGCCCTAGACTGGCTTTTAGGACCCTTTCAGGCCCCTGGGGAGGAGCTACTGAAATCTCATTTCCTCTAGCTTCTGCCCCTAAATATACAGTCTGGGTGCGGTTTTTGCTTTTGTTGCCTACTGGTGTTGAGGATTGAACCCAGGACCTCACTCGCTCTAGGCAAGCAAGTTCTCTGCCACTGAGCTACACCCTTGGGCCCATAATTATTTATATTTAAAGCAGGTCTTGAAAAAAATATATATTTTGGTAATAGGTAGCTCAGGCTGGCCTCAAACTTGTGGGGATCCTCCTGCCTCAGCCTCCTGCAGGTACCACCACACTGAGATCCTGCAAAGTGTGTTTTAAATCTTGAAATAATCAACTACTAGCA